GGTGACCGATTTATTATCGAATTAGTGACCGAATTTGTGACTAAATCAGGATTTATTCGTGACTGATTCTGTGGATTTAACCAGTGACTTTATTTTGCTATCTAAATCATGATTTTATCTGACTAATTTAATAATCAATTTTAATTTTTTTATTCACATGCTAAATTAAAAAATAAAATCAAATAATTATATTACTAAATTATTTAATAAGTTAGTAAACAATTTTTTTAAAATATTTATAATGTTATTAAAAATGTTATCAATTATTTTAAATTATTAAGTAAATTTATATTTAAAATAATTTAAATAAAATATTTATATAAATGAAAAATAGTTATCAGTTTAAAAATTATTTTTTTAGTGACTCGAAATTTTAGTCACTAAATCAGCTTACTAAATATAAAAAAATCAAGAATAAAAATAATTACATAAATTAAATATAGATTAATTAAAAAATAAATTAAATAATAAAATGACTCGAAATAAGTAACCGATTTTATGTGACCGAAAATTCGATTACTATTTCTGATACTAGACTAAAAAATAATAATTTGGTTACTCGATTCGATCACTCGATAATAACTAAATTTTTCGGTCACTTATTTCGATTACTATTTGACATTTTTCTAGTAGTGTCTTCTTCTTCTTCATCCGAGCCTAAAGATGACAATGCTTCGAGCATTTTTAGTTTTAATTGGGCCTTTTCCATTTTTGATGAGGGGAGTTGGGATAAATCTATAATTGATTTTCCTTTATATTTTATTGAGGGCATTTCTTTTGGTATTGGGCCTTTGATACCCATTTTCTTCCAATTTTCAAATTTTTCTTCCACATATTGGACTTCAAATTTTTTCCACCAAAAAAACCTTGGTTTTCAAGCAAAGTGTTTTTGGATAGGTTTCGTCTTTATGCTGATGGATTTCAGGAATGTGGGCCAAAAGCCAGCTTATTCCCATAGTTGAACAGAATTTTATTATTCGAAGATAGGGAGGGTATTGAGGAGTAAGAGTTTTGTATTTTTGATATATTTTCATGACTTTTTCGGGGATGATTGACTGGACAAGACCTATTTGATTAAACCAGTCAATAAATTAATTGGGTAATGAGTTGGGTATTTCCTTTTTAAAGTAAATGTACCAAGAATGCCTAGGGTTGGTGTCGAAGAGTATTTTGTTCCAGACTTCTTGATAATCAAAATAATTGTATGATAGAGGGTCAAAGGGCTTCGAAAACCTCTTATCAGTGAAAGGATGGGTAGAAAATTATCTTGATAATTCGTAATTTAGAGTAGCTAATAATAGAGGGATCTCTATCATTAGATATGAGAGTTATTTTAGCGGATCATGTGTCTATTAAAATGAATTGATAAAATTTTTTGGTTTTCTTTAAATTTTCCGATTTGGAAATCCAGCTCCATCCTAAGGAAGCTAACCTGATGCTAACCTTTTAAGTAGTCCATATATATCTTCTTCTATGTATATTCCAGATCCCAAATGACATCAAGACATTTTAATGCAGAAAAAAATACAGTCCAAAATATTTAAAATCCACGTCAAATAACAAAAAGCACCAATCTCACACGTGCAAGTTCGACCAGTCCAAACAATAGAGTCAAATTTTTAGGAAATACAAAATGCACACTCCGACACAATCAGCTTAATCTGTACCACACGACCAAAACCCAGACCAGTCCAGAATCGAAAATCAAATCGGACATTCCAGAGCTAATAAGAGAGAATCAGAAACAAACATCACACAAGGCCAATCCACTATTAAATATACTCGGATCCAACCCAAGGAAGACATAACACACAACTAGCATCAAGCAGACCCCAACTCGAACAACACCAATCCACACAAACAGAACCAAACCAAGGCCAACGAGAACGTCATAACCAAACCAACACGAACCCACCCGAATCAACCCAAACCAACAGAATCAAACCAAATTAATTGAATTAAACAAAGAAAAGGGATCAAATTTGAAGAGAACAAACACGATACAAGCCTCGGGGGAGAGCTCAAGTGTGATGGGTGGGACGAAAACGCAACCCGGGCACAGCGTGGTGGAGATTAGCACTGGCGGTGGTGCGGTGACAGCCAGGGAACGAAACACGGTGGAGGCTGGTGGCGCCTTGCGGTGAGGAGATGAGCTGCTGAGTGAGGCAGCGCCACGAGTAGCTGGCAAAAAAAAAGGGGCGGGGGGAGGCCGGATTCGCTACGGCCGGTGTGGGCGGCGCAGCCCGCGGTGGAGCTTTCAATGGAAACGCGAGAATCGCGCAGTTGGGTCTGACGAGCTGTGGTGGTTTCAGCCCGAGGTGTTTGGAGGCGCGATGAATGGCTCACAGTGGAGGGCAATTGTTCGTGATTCCGGTGAGGCTGAAATGGGGTGGTTGGTGGTGGTGGCCGGAGCTGTGAAATAGGGATTCGTGGAAGTGGTTTGGGTCGCTTGCGGAGGCTCGATGGAGGTGGCGAGGCGCGACTGCGTGCGTGACTCGCGGTGGGTTTGGGGGTGATGGTGGTCGGCGGTGGTGCGCACGGCGAGCGTGGTGGTGGAAGCTGGAAGTGGTGATCCAAAGTTTGGCTGGGATGGCCAGGAAGGCGGTGATGTACCGCGGGTGAGTGAGCGTTTGCAGAGGCTATGGAGGAGGTGCGGTAATGAGAGTGATCTAGGACTGGAAATGGGGGGCTTGGTGTATGTCAGTGAGGGCAAAAGGGCAAAAGTGGTTGGGCGGATGAGGTTGTTGTGCGCGGTGTGGATGTGTTTTGGTTGAGACTAAAGGGTGTGGGGTACTTGGGGATTAGAGATGAGGGTCGCAGGCGTGTGGTGGAATTATTGGGCGAGTGAGATGAAGAAGGCGAGGGAAGGTGTAATGCTGGGTGAGGTGCGGGGTGAATGGGTCCGTGAGGGAGTATTAATTAAGTTTAAATTTCTAAGAAAAGAAATTATATATCTTTTCCATTTTTTATTTTTCTTAAAAATGTAAAATGATAATGAAAGGAATTATTTTTTTTCTTTTTTTGATTTTTTTTTAAAAAGTAAAATATTAACAAAGGAAATTATTTTTCTTTTTAATCTTATTTTTCATTTTTTTTTCATATTTTCAAAATAAACATTGTTATTTATTATATTTATTCAAACGAAGTTGGGTGTTGACACATCTTCATCTCCCAATTTAAACATTCTTTAATATTACGTTTATATAGAAAATGAGAATATCTAACCTAGATTTTTTAGGATAGTTTTAGTATTAAGTTTATGATAGTGGAAGGGAGATAGTTGATAATAATCATCATTATTATGACTATTATACATCCATTCACTTTGAGAGAAGATTCCTCGTGATATATTTTTTTTTCATTCTATGTGAACCTTCACCATGTTTGTTCATAAATTTTTCTTTTCTTTGTTGCATTAGTTGAGTAAACATGTTCCTTAAATCCCCATCTCTTTTCTCCAATTTTCTATCAAAATATTTTTTTGAATTTCTAATCTCATCTTTTAGATTCAACTCTACATCATGATCCAATAGCTTCTATGCACACTAGAATAACTAGAATAATAATTTTCACTCACTTTTTTATCAAAAGATTTTAAGTTTTGAAAAGTTATCACAAAAACGGAGTAGCAAAGTTTTTCACAAATTTTCAAGTATATATGGGTGTTCATGCCCTGTATAGACCAAAGGAAGGTATACTAAACTTAGTAAGACGAGACCTACTTTTTGTCACAGATAAGGCTACTAATGAAAAGTTTGAAAAGAAGTGAAACATCAAAAGTAAACTAGAAGTTTCCTATTGTGAAAGTACAAGTGACACGTGTGAGTCTCTTGGAACATTTCCACGAGTCTAGATGTATACTATTACACAATTCACTTTTAGAAAAAAAAAATTAAACTAGGCACTTTTCCTAATACACCTAAGAGAAAAGAAATAAAATTACACAAAAGCAAGAAATTACAAAAAAAAAATCCATGAAAAAAACAACTAAAACAATAAGCATAAATTTTGTTACAAATTTAGCACATAGTGACAGAATTTTCCATCACAAATTCTCTTCTAATGTGTTTCAAGCTTGTATTAGTGGATTCTGGTCCAACTCTCAAGTTGCCTCTTTTCACAAGTTTTTTCACTATTTTAGAAGCCCTCCCTTGCCTCTTAAGATCATTGGAGAAGTAGTTTCAATAATTCTCCAATAGAGATGAGTTCTCAAAAAATAATGGAAGAGTTTAACGTCTTTAATAAACTCAAGTATAAGAAGAGGGAAAAAAACTCAATTAGAGATGGAATACTTTCAAATCAAAGAGAAAGAATGAAAAAAAAAATCAAAGAATTCAAAAGGAATGAAAAGCAAAAATTAAGGCAAATTTAGTAGTAAGCACACAAAAGAAGTCCTAATGAGTTGATCTAAAATTTAAGTACTAAAGCAAAATAAAATGTAAGTTAAATCAATAACAAGTAAAGACACACAACTGCAATTTGAATTTGCAAAAAAAACATTATACTTTAAGATTCTCACAATACAAGTTAAGTTATAGGACTAATTAAATATTCAAGCAAATGCATCAAAGAGTGTGATTTATGATGTGAGTTGTTTTATTCTTTTGATTTTCTCTTCTTCTTCTTTTTGTTTATGAGACAATGACTTTTGTTTTTCTCCAAAAAATTTTAAGAGTAATTAAAAAATTTTGTTCAAATTCAACAAGCAAGAGGTGTAACATATTCTATACAAATGAATCAACTTAGACTCTAGGAAAAGTGTTTGGAAGCTCTTGGTCTGCACTTTACAAATTGGAAAAAATATTTTTAACACTTGCTAACACTACTACAAAATATACTTTCAACGTCGTCATTTAACGTCGGTTAAAGCTGAGCTGACGTTAAATACACTTTTAACGTCGGTTGGTTAAAAAACGACGTTGAAAATGGAATGTTGGACACATTCTACGTCGGTTCTTAGTCAACCGACGTAGAAAGCACTTTCCACGTCGGTTCTAGATCAACCGACGTAGAAAGCACTTTCCACGTCGGTTCTAGATGAACCGACGTAGAAAGCACTTTCCACGTCGGTTCTAGATGAACCGACGTTGAAAGTCTTTTAATTTAGACATTCAACGTCGGTTCCCAGATGAACCGACGTTGAATGTGTTTTCACCGAAAAATTCTCTTAATTTCAAGAATTATCACTGACAGGATTCGAACCCAGTATTTTAGAGTTGAAAGTTGATACTCCAACCACTAAACTACTGTAATTTTCTCGATAATAACTTACAAATTAATTATATTTATATACAAATAAATATATATCCGTGTAAATATATATTTATTTATATATATTTTCTGGAAAGTGTTTTTATTTTTTTTCAGCCAAAAATTTACTTAAGTTCAAGAATTGTCACTGATAGGATTCGAACCCAGTATTTTAGAGTTAAAAGTTGATACTCTAACCACTAAACTACTGTAATTTTCTGATAATAACTTACAAATTAATTATATTTATATATAAATAAATATATATCCGTGTAAATATATATATTTTCTGGAAAGTGTTTTTATTTTTTTCAGCTAAAAATTTACTTAAGTTAGAGAATTGTCACTAACAGGATTTTTTGAACCCAGTATTTTAGAGTTGAAAATTGATACTTCAACCACTAAACTACTATAATTTTTTTATAATAATTTACAAATAAATTATATTTATATACATATAAATATATATTCGTGTAAATATATAAATATAGAATATATAAATACAAATATATTTATATATTTTGATATATTTATATATATTTATATAGTTATATAGTTATATATTTATATGTTGGATGTGAAGGCGCGTTCGAGGGTGAAAGTGAGATTGACTCTCGCTTGAGTGAAAATACGTTAAAACTCACGGAAATTCACTCGTTCAAGCCTCGCTTGAGCGAAAATTGGTATTTTTCGCTTGAGCGAATGATGCGTTTCTCATATTTATTTTATATCATTAATAAATTATAAATATTATATTCTCGTCATTAAATTACAAACCCATATAAAGAGACTCGCTCACAAATTTGACATCAAATTTTGAAAACTCACTCGACACACTTTCACCTTCGAGCGTGCCCTCACATCCAACATATAAATATATAATTATATAAATATATCAAAATATATAAATATATTTGTATTTATATATTTATATATTTACACGGATATATATTTATTTGTATATAAATATAATTTATTTGTAAGTTATTATAAAAAAATTCGAGTAGTTTAGTGGTTGGAGTATCGACCTCCAACACTAAGGTACTTGGGTTCGAATCTCGTCGATGACAAAAAATTAATTTGGTAATGCTCTAACCTTTAAAAAAAGATGATAAATAATAAAAATATAATATAAAAGAGAGGAGGGATTTCTAGATAAATAGAGAGAGGGGAGAGGGGTTGGAAATAAATAAAAATTTTCGATTTGAAAGTCAGGACTTTCAACGTCGGTTCTATTTAACCGACGTGGAAAGTCTGATTTTCAACGTCGATTCTGGAACCGCCGTTGAAGGCCTTCCAGAACCGACGTGGAAAGCCTTATTTGTAGTAGTGTAATAATCTAATAGCAAATGAAGAACTCAAATAAAGAAGGATAAGCCAACATGCATTTGGTTTTCATGTTTTCAACTTAGAAAAATGTGCAAAAGTTTTAGGACTACCTATGATCAAATTATAAACAAGTAAAGGAACTAAACCTAACTCTAAGCAACTTGGAAGATAAAAAAAATAAAATTTAAGTAATAATATGTCATATTATCGAATTCAAACTAAAATAGAAAACCTAAGGTAAAAAATGTTATAGTTTTTTTATACCACATACAATTGATTCAAGAATAAATTATAAAATGGATCTGTCAACACCCATTTTCATCTAGATAATAATAAATTTTATCTCACAAAAATAATAATAATACAATAATAATAATAATGATAAAGATGAATAAATAATAAAAAATTAAAGAAAGGGTAAAAAAACAATAAAAGTGCTAAAAAAAAAGAAATTAGTCTCTCTTATTAGTTTTGAAAAAATATATGCATGTATTAGTATGAAAAAGCAAACGAAAAAGGAAAAGAAAAGAAAAAGGACAATGTTTTCATTTGGGTCCAACTCTTTTTATCCTAGGCTGGGCTCAAACGTTTTAACCTAATGGTTAGTTTTATAAAGAATTAGCTTTATAAAGAGTTAGCTTTATAAAGAGAAGAATAGTAATATGGGGCATCATCTTTCTTGGGGCTGCAAGTGGAGACACCAAAGAACAAACAGACAAAAGACACAGGGAGAAGAAAAATTAAAGTATATTTCTTGCATTCTATTTTATTTATTAATACTTTATATTGGCATTCCTCCATTCTTCCCTTGGTCAAATACTCCCCTCCATTTTTTTGTCTAAACCCGCATTCAAACTCCTGTTGCTTACCTTCATTTCACCTCACATTCTCAAGCTTCTCCTTACATCTTCGTGGGCCCTCTCTTCAAACTACTCATCCCCATTTCACCCATCACCTCCACCCTTTCTCACCGACACCGCACACCACCATTTCCTAGCCATTCCATCTTCATCCTACAGCACCCACCATTGGCTATCCCCCTCACCCATAAGCCACCTCTCACCAACCACCACTAACCACCGCACCCCTCTCTTCCTCACTCTACGCCACGACCCATCAGTGCCATTAGTCTCCACCAGCCAAAATTCCAAAACCCAACATCCCTTCTCAGCTCACATTCTAGCTGCCCATCATTATTTTCCCAGGCCTCCTTTACAAAACCACCATGCTAGCAAAATCCAAGCCTAGCCACGCACCATGAAACCACCACTATGAATCATCGTCGCTAGTCTCACCTTGACTCCCAATCCCTCTTCTTCACCTTAATCCCCTTGTGGCCGGATAAGGCATGACCATAACCACCTTGAACTTAAGAGAAAACCACTGCAGCGATCACCTCCATCACCTTGTCGTAACCCTATCCCATTTGCGCTGCTTTCACAACCATGAAAACCATCACCTCACTATCTTCATTCTCTCCACTTGATCAATGAATACCTTCTCCACCATCACCAGTGACTCTCACTCATAACACCACCAATCAAGTTCGGACTGTACCCTCGTCACGCCACCATGTCACTCGTTGTAAGATGATTCGTGAGTTTATGGTTTAGGATTCGATGCAGGGTTGTGGGCTCACATCATGAATTGGGTCCCCTGACTTCTTCCCTATATCTGATTTGTGTCTTTGTTGATTGGGATGTCATCGCAGTCCCCCGCGAGAGAAGGAAATGTGCGAGCGGTTCCAACACTATAGTTATATCTCAGCGTTTTCGTAAAATAATACGGTGATCACTTTTAGAAGGCTCAATAATCGAATTAACATTGAAAATGAGGTTTTCGCAAAATGACTTATATGGAGTCGTCACCAATGTTTTAACTATAAACATTAAAAAAGAATAAAAAAAAGTGTTGATTTAAGAAAACCAATTTTGATCATTATAACCAGAATCATAAGAGAATTAATTATGCATAAGAAATATGTTAGCACCCCACAACGCCCCTTTTCAGGTTCCCTATGATGGATTAATTTATAGAATAAAGATTGTAGAAATTATGTTTTTACCCTATTTATTTATTTATTTGTAATATTTATTTAAATATCTACATGACCCTAATTTCTAATGCACACAAAGGAAATCCGTTTCGAAGATGGTCAAGACTTCATTAAGCTCATAATAGCATTTTCTAGGTTCCATTTAAGAAAATGAGAGTTTTCTTAGAAAAATAAAAATTAGGGTTTTTGTCAAAAGATCGGGACGTCCATCCCAGATCCAGACGGTCGTCTCAACCCCCATGGGGGCCTGGGACAACCATCCCAAATCCAGATGGTCATCTCACTCCTTTTGTAGCTCGGGATGACCGTCCCAACCTCTTGGATCTGCGAGCCTATAAATAGGAGCTCATTCTCCCACATTTTCACACACTTCTACACCTTGGATTAAGAGTTCTCTTCTCTCTCCTACTTTGAAACATTTTTCGAGCATTTTTTGCTTTGTTTCAGAGTCTGAGTAGTCTTTCCGGTTATCCTCTTTGGATTAATCGGTTAAGGAAGTCTCCTTTTGAGACATCCGGTGCTCGGTAGTGTAATAATTTTACTGTTCGTGGGAGAAGTGCTCTTGTAGAGGGAGGGGTCTATCAAAAAACGTCCTCTTGTTTTCAAGAGATATTTATAAAAACTCGCTTTGGAGATTCCTTTTTCTATTCCCTCTCTTTTACTGCTTTCCTTTATCGTTTTCTTCTGTGTGCATTAGATATTAGAGTCATATAGATATTTAATTACTACAAGTAGATAAATAAACAGGGTATAAGCATAAAAATATGGTTCATCATCCCGTCACAATTTTGGTTGCGATAGGATCAATTAAGAATAAAGGAGACATAGAAATATAAGGAAAGTGAAATAACCTAAAATAACTAAAAGGAAATAATAACAAAACAAAAAGCTAATACAAGTAAAAAAGAAATGAGAACTTATCTCTTAAAGACCTCTAAGGCTAGATCTTGATGCCAAAAGATGGAAACTTCTTCACCTCTAAGCAATGAAAGATTGAAATTTCTTAAAACTTTTCAAGTTTCTAAATAAAAACTTAGATTATTCATCTTTCAAGGAAGACTCATTATTGAAGAACTAGGAAAACTTTTCTCCATGTATGACCTTAGAAAACAAGAAGGAAAGGATTTAAGGAAATCATTTTTCATTCAGTCAAAGGTGAGTGTTACAAGAGACAATGATTGTTATTTATAGATGCTTAGTCCACTTGTACCTAATGACACAAAAGATATGGAACTAAGAAGCATAAAATGGAATGCAAAGTAACGCCCCCCCCCCCTAATAAGCCTAATTTTGGTTTCCTTAGCTATTCTAGTTTGGTAACTGTAAGATGACATGTTATCCGCTAGATGATGCATTGATTGGTTGGTTAGATAAGCATTAGATTATGTATTTTTTGTTAATTAGCCTAATGAGCATTAAATGATGCGTTGTTTGATAGTTGGTCTAATGGTCTCATTAGTTGGTCTACTTGAGCACTAGTTGACATACATTTTTAAATATTTTTTGTGCAATTTAGCATATATTTGATATTTGATTGTCTAGACCATCTATTGGTCTAATAGTAAGGTTGGTGTTGTTGGAAAATTTGCATTCACTATGTATGAACTTGGTGGTGAGAAAATTAGGTTAGGAAAGAAAGGGCTAAATTAGTGTAATTCTTATTCAAATTACCAATCTATATCAGCTAAATGTAATCAAACAATGCAATACATAAAAAATATATTAAGAACTAAGGAAACATAGATCGTATTCTTAAGGAGCATTATAAACTTAATTTTCACATGTAAAGAGTTAGGAAATGAGGATTTCGTGAGTTTTGTATTGTGAAAAATAATAATAAAGGAAAGCAATGAACTTAAGTTCTAATCAAAACAATAAAACTAAGTAGTTAAATGAAAGTAATGAACATTGTGTAGTAAAGTAAGTAATAGAAATAGTAGACTAAAACAATAATTATGTACTAAATCTTAAGAAAGTTATGAAATTCATTGGTTGGTTATCCAATCATTAACTTGTTCTATTGATTTTCATTAATTTCTAAACCTAATGTAACCACAAAATAGATCATAAGAATTATAAACATTCACAAATTAATTAATTAATTAATTAATTAGATCAAATTGATTCACCGCATTGACCTAAAAACACAATTCAACTTTCAAGGGAAACAATCACACAAATCTAAAAATTGAACTATGATGTAATAGATTATAAATTGTTAGAATCCCGAAGATTCAAATTTAAAGTATAGAAAACAAGAATTTGGTTGGAAAATCAACCTTAAGAAGATAGAAACTCATGAAAAAAATATTAAAATTGTATAAATAGTAAATCAATACAGAAAATCAAGAGATGTATAAAATAGTGGAGAAAATTTAAATTGTTAAACTTTAATATAAAACTCGTACAGTAATAATAGACGAAGAAGTTGCAAACTCTACTATAATAACTTAGAGAGAAAACTAGAGAGAAATATGAAGTATAGATCTAGAAAGTGTAAAAATAAATGATAACTTTTGTCTTTTGGTTTTCCCAAGCCTTTATATACAACAATGAATTCAATTGAAATGCACAAGACCCATATAAGGCCCAAAATAAATAAACTAGATCACTTAAAGCTTGATTGAATAATTCTGCACAAATGGGTTCAACAACTTCGTGCTAAGCGGATTTACATTTCACTAAGCATATTGTCATTTAAGTTAGTTGATTAGAATATGATGTTTTCACTTAACTTTAGCTCTACAAATTTCTCAATATTAACACAAATTTCAAGTAATTTTTTATAAAACACAATGTTGATTTCAAAGGAGCTTGGCAACATATTCAACAATAAGTTTATCAATGATATCCACACTAAAAACTAAACACATGTGTAGACCCCGAATCTTGCTCGACCTTACAACAAAATTCACAAATACTCCGTTTTAAAGATAAAAAAAAGGCTTCATTGGGCTCCTAGTAGTGTTTACTAGGCTCCATGTAAGAAAAGAAGAATTTTTTTAGAAAAAATAAAAAATAAAAATTTTGTCAGAAAATCCGGGACGACTGTCCGAATCCCAGCGGTTGTCCCACCTGATTCGTAGACTCAAGACGCCCATCCTGCCCTCCTTGGTAGTCTAGGACGCCTGTCCCAAAATCCAGACGGCCGTCCTGAATCCCAGACGGTCGTCTCATCTGACAAAATTTGGGACGATCGTCCCGACCTCTTTAGTGAGCGTGCCTATAAATAGGACGTCAGACCTCACTGTTTCACTCACCTCTAGACTCCTCTAGACTCCTATAGACACCTCTTCACCCCTGAGCACTGTTCCAAACTCCGAGTGATCATTTCGATTGTCCGTTTAGGAAAACAATCGGTTAAGGAAGTCTCCTTTTAGATATCCAGCTTTTGGCAGTTTAAATTTTTATTTGCTCGAGAGAGGAGTGCTCGTGTAGTGCGAGGGGATTTCCGAAAAGTGTCCTCAAGTTTAAAGGTTTATAAAAGCTCGCTTCGGAGGTTCTTCTCAAACCCTTAATCTTTTATCGTTTTCCTTCGTATGCATTAGAAATTAGGGTCATGTAGACATTTAGATAAATATCACAAATAAATAAATGAAAAGGGTAAAAACATAATTTCTAAAAATATTTATTTTATGAATTAATCCATCATAGCGAACCCGAAAGGGGCGCTGTGGGGTGCTAACACCTTCCCCACGCGTAACTAACTCCCTTACCCGACTCTGGTTATAATGGCCAAAGTTGGTTTTTTTAACCAACGCCTTTTTTATCCTTTTTCAATGTTTATGGTTAAAACATTGGTGACAGATCCATAGAACCCATTTTTCCAAAAACCTTACTTTTAAGGTTAGTTCGGTTATCGAGCATCATAAAAGTTATGACCAAACTATTTTACGAAAATGTAAGATTCAACCATTGCGTCGCGACCGCTCGCACTTTTCGCTCCCCGCACTCCGCGCGGGGGACGGCAGCGACAACATGATTATCCTCTTAAGGGTGTCTCAAAGTATCAAGAATATTAAATTTATAATGTTATCATTAAACTCCAAAGTTAAAGTACCAACATATGCATTAATCTTAGTGTGAACAATATTTAAGAACGATCTTCTTATAATGATAGGTAAGAATTGAAGAAGAGTTACCTCCCATGTTTAAAATATAAAAATCATCAAGAAAGATCAAGTCATTTACATATTCTTCAAGTCCAATTGATTGCATTATGCTTCTATTGGATAATTGGATTATCACACCTATGTTTTACATTAAATCTAAAGACAAAGAAGAATTAACAATAAAAGACATAACATTAATGGATTCTCCGAGGTCAAGCATTACATTTTCAAACTTGTTGCCAAAGACACATGAAATGGTGAAAACTCCCCATCTTTGTGTTTTTCCAGTATTATGCAACAAATAAAGCAAAAGCATCCCTTCCTAGATCAATTTTTTCATTTCCCTCCAATCTTCTTTTGTGAGTGCATAAATCGTTAAGAAATTTGACATATTTTGGGATTTGTTTAATAACTTCAAACAAAAGGATATTGACCTCTATTCTTTAGAAAACCTAGAAAATATCTTTATTCGGCTC